TATTAGCATCACTTTTGGTTGCTAATCTTGAAAGGAGAGGAGAGGAAGTGAGAAAACTCAACTAGGTACTTTGCGTGTTTTTTAACTAAAAAAGCGATATATCCGAGATTCTTTGTTCCAATCCATCCGGGGATCTTTTCGGCGAATCTCTTCTTTGCCCGAAAATGTAGGGGTTCGAGTCGAAATACCCTTCCCTTTGATTCGCTTTCGTACCCAACAAACTTTTCGAAGCGATTTCACCCATCCGTAAAAGCTGAGATTTATATTTTAATAGCCTTTAGAAATTTCACCAATTTTGGCTGTTTCACCCATCTTATAACTTATTTAGTTAATTTATAAATTGTCTCTTTTCAAATACAACTTGTTTGGTTAATGAACTTCAAAAAAAAATAAAAAAAAATCAGGTACTTGGCTTTTCAAAAAGGAACACTGAATTTAAGAACAAATCCACAATATAACAATCAAAGATGTCATGCATTGCATCATTTCCCATCCACGAGAACACATGCTTTTTTAGTGGGAGACAATTCATTTATCATTATTGAAAACTCCCTAAAAAATTAAAACAATACGAATCCAATTAGTCATTCAGACAACTTTAATTAATTCGGGGTGCTCGAACCCTTTGTCCGAACAGAAAAAATTAAAAATAAAAAATAAAAAAGAACTCCAGAAGATAATAACATAAATCACGATTGAGACAAATAACACTCACGTGATTGATTACACGCTCAGCACTTTTTATGTCTGAAACCAAACCACAACGCCCTGTACGAAAAGCAAACGGACTTGAAAAGTCAACTATTCACCTTTGACCGTCTACTCGCAGTTAAAGGTAGCAATCACATTCACATTACAAGTTACAACTTACAACAAGTCACAATTCACAAACAGAAAACACGGGACCTTCAAAACACACCTAACATTCAAAATTCTTCTCCCCATCATGTGAATTTACATCGATACCCCTACGGCAATACGGGCAGTCCCCACAAGTCCTTACCCACGGCTCCAAGCAACGAAAATGGTACCTGTGCTCGCACGGCAAACGAACCAGCTTTTCTCCCTCGGAAAAACTCTCCAGGCATATGCTGCATTCCCCAATATTCCTATAGCTTTTTTCATGGTTAGTAGAGAATATCTCAATGCATAAACGATTTAGTGCCTTTTGAGTGAGGCCCGGTGGCCGTTTGATCTTTTGTTGACCAGTGGAATTGGGTAAAGGGGCAAATGTGGAAAGCCATTCTCGAGATATTTCCGTTTCCCATTCGGCAGAGTCGACGAGACTGAAATCCTCCCGTATTGGATTGGAATTTGGACGGCTGCTGCTAGTACCGGATGAATTTCGGTTATTTCGCCTGTAATGGGAAAAAAAAAAAATATAATGACCTGATTTAGATAGATATTATTGCATGAAATTTTTTGCAGAAGAAAAGTTATTTTTTAAATAATTATTCTTCCTGATGTTATGTACGCCGAGGGATATACACAAACTAGTCTGTGAAAAACTAAATGTTATATATATATAAACTCTAAGATATGATTAGCATAGCTACTACACTTAAATTTCACTTATGACTTGTATAACTGTTTTTACAGAGGGATAGAGTTTTATGAGATGAACAAACCTGGCACTAGAGAGAGTCACACCTCTTAACCTTTGCAATAGCCTTTCTCTAGCAAGAAGCACAGCTCCAGGAAGCCTGTCATTAGCACTCACCCTCAAACTATCTTGGACATTAATGTGACTCCCTGAATAGTTTACATTTCCAGAGGAAAGTTGATGTACACTGTCTTCAAGTCGAATCGACTCACGTTCCTGAAAATCTCAAACGAATGGAGATCAGAGCAAGCCAAAGTAGCGGCTCAATAGGAAAAGAAATCTAATAACTCCATATTGAATGTGGATACACATCTTACAAAGATGAACACAAACTCCAGATAATCGATCAAAGTTAATTAAGAGAGAGAGAGAGAGAGAAAGAAAAATACAGAATGCAAACTCGAATGTTCGATATAATTTAGCAACTCACAGGGTTTGTCTAGCAAGCTAAATCGTCAAATCACCAGAGCCACCTTAGTGATATGTTTTTTACAAAGAAGTATCGTCCATTGCACGATTAACTAACAAATTATGAAATACATAAAACCAGAAACTTCGAAGTTAGGAATAAAAGCGCGCCAATTTGACAGCAAAACAGCATCAGGATGTTGAGCAATGAAAGGGAAAGTCGGGTGATAGACGAATGTCAAGCTACATAACAACATTTTGACAGATCTGAAAATAACTTATTTTCTGGTGGGCCTCGCATTTTAGGAAGGACCAGAGAACCATTAGCTTTCAACAGAAAATAACAAGAGTGAATACTGCATAAAAGAACAATTCCTAATCATTAGTTCATGCAACTCAGGCAAAACCACAACAACACTAACAAAATGTCCTCAGGAATTTGAATTTCAAAGAACGGTAAAGGTAACAAACACACAGGAACAAGATGTTGTTTTCACGTGCCATACACCAGAACTAATACACTACAAAAGTCATTACTCCCTCTGTTTCAGAAAACATGTCATTATAGTTCATAGATGCAAAATTCTGAATTTAACTGGTTGGCTAATTTACCTTCATATCAGATCTCCCAAATCTAGTGTTTAGAGATGTTCAATTGGCTAAAAAAGATATCCGACCAACAACGGAGGAAGTAACTAGTGTACACCCAAAAAAGACCCAAGGAACCAGAGGTTTTACATTTGAGAAAGTGCTTGGAACAAAATTAGGATGACAAAAGCTTCTGCTATACCATAAGTCATTTATGGTGGGGTACAAAAACTTATCTCTACCTTACTTCCACAAAGGGTGACTAGAATCCTGCGCCACACGCTGCAAATTGGTACTCATCCTTTTATAGAAACGAAAACTTCACACGAACACAGAGAACAAAATTACCAGCTCGAATGAATCACGCACCAATTGAAATTAGGTTTACCACGAATTCAATTGCAAAATTGCAATTATCACGAAATAGAAAGAAAGGGGTTCTCACTTGAGCCGGATGAGGAGGACGATGGAGCGGCGGTTGCCTGGGGTGATGATGCGCGCGCCGCAGCGGATCGCAACCCTCCAGATCGATCCGGTCTCGGCGAGCGTGGCTGCCTCCGGGACCGTTGAGGTGGCGGTGCCGGCGATTGGTCCGGTCGATGTGCGGTTGGGAGCCGAAATCCGACCCGTCGTCAAAAGGATCCGAACTCCGTCCGAATCGAGATCTCCGATTGTAGAATAGCTCCGATGCGCTCGTCATGCAAGTCACTAGCTCCGATTATCGGCCGGCCGGATTCAGTTTATCGGCGACGGATGCGTCTGTACCCTACAAATAGAATTGAAATTTCTTGACGAGAAAGGAAAAAGACAAAAAATCATTGAATTTCGTATGAACCAGTGAAAATTTTGAGAGGGAAACGTGAAGGTTTGCCCGGCGCCTTGTAGATACCTTCGAGGAAGTGCGGAGGCCGGAGAGTAGGAAGATAAGGGGAGTGAACAAAGCTATTACTATATCTTGTCCTTTCTCGTGACTTTTTTATTTTTCTTGTCCTTTCT